AGTGTGCTATGCTATCTAATCAAGCGCTGAAAGACAATAAAAGCCAACAACGCAGCCACGACAAACAGCGACCACAAAAAGTGCTTATGTCTGAAAACAACAGCAGGACAAGACCGTTGAGTTGAATGGAGACCAAAGGGATACCCAGTTATTTGTGATTTATTCGAGATTTAAATATTCGGAGTTATGAATATACAAGTAATAATTAAAAACAATATTTTTATTTTGTATATTTCATTAATATTAAATCAAGATCTTTGATCACTATTGCCAGATCCTCCCCTTACTGTAAATACCCCTTTATATAAAATCACAGAGAATTCCAGCCAACCTACTTCTCTGCCTGGCTAAGTGCAGCGGGAAAACCTTTTCCTGGCTCCACTCGAAAGTATCGCGCGGATGTCGTATCTATGGCCCACCATATGGCGACCAAACGCCGATATCTGTGAGAGTGTTTCCATGTACGAGTATCTGTATTTCTGTATCTTATCTGGCAGTCGGGGGTATTAGCCAAGGAGCGTGCACCTCAACCTCCAATTCTCGGGGCCCCGAAAAGCAGCAGTGGCCATAATAACAATAACTGAGACTGGGCTGACATCATAATAATTCGAGTTTACTGCATTGCAAGAGAGACCTTTTGGCAAGTTCGGGGAAAACTTTTCGCATAAAATCCCTGTTTGAGACAGCCACTGGGAGAAGGCTGGGAAGGACATTTTCTTTTAGCACAATTCGCTTCACAAAGTTGCTGCTGCCAATTCTCGTGGATGCGACTGCCAGCAAACTTTGCGGCAACATAATTTTAATGTGTTTGTGGCAGGATTAGAGCTGTGGAAAGCTAGAAAGCTGCAACTGCATTTACAATGAATGCCAACGAAAGGTGTTTCTGAACTTTATTGATGTCGTCGACTTCGGACGACTTCCGCACCACCCGTTAGGCAAATAGCAAATAGCATTGGGATCAGGTAAAAATCGGTTCCCGTCTGAATGGATGGATGTCAAATGCCACCACCAAGCACGCCCCTTGGTTCCGTCTGCCTGGCTTCGCTTCTTTGCCTCCTCGACTCCTTCTGCCCCTGCTCCTCAAACCCATCCTCGTCCTCCACCTCCATCTCCTCCTCCTCCTCTTCCTCCAGCGATCGCCAGCTTGTGCGCACGCGCATTGAGGCATAGACAGCGAGTCCAGGTGTGCTCCGATCATCGCTCGCCGCTCGTGGCTGCAAAGTACGTGCCATAACCGCACTCGAAAAAATACTAGGGTGCTTTGAAAAGTCATCTTTATATAAGAACTGCTTAAAAAATACATAAACTTGTTTTAAAATGCGTTTTTTTTAAATTAAGAAACCCGATTTAACACCTAATGTTCCTATTATCACATTGATAACGTATTTATTTATTTCTTTATTATTTAAAATTTCTAAGATATGTTTAAGCCCCTTAAGCTAAAATGGCAGATTTCAAAATAATCTTTAAAATCACAAAAAAAAATAAATAAATATTTCTTAAGTTAACCTTATAACTTTAACTTTTATAAAGAAGAAGACCTCCAACTTCACTTTATAATAATTCTAAAAATGTGTATTGTTAAAAAAAAAAAAAAACAATTTGAGACCCCCCATTCTCCTCAGTGTACCGAAACTCCCCTTGCTTTGGAGTAATCGCTTGCGATCATCAGCTGTTGGCTGTGGCGATCGTTTCCTTCCGCATCCGTATTTTGGCATAGGGGCTGCAGAATCCCTACCGGTTTCGCGTTGCTCTTCGTGATTTCCCCCACCATTTGCGCATTTCCCATTTCCAGCGAATCTCAGCTCGCCAGATTGCTGTTTAATCTGGCAAAATGGATCTTTGCAGCGGAATCATAGTGCCTAATTGCCACTAGTTTGTTTTTGTGACATTTTTTTGTGTTTTAACGGATTTTAGAGTCACTTGACCGTAACACAATTCCACCTCGCCCCCTCGTAGGCTCTTTTTTATGAGCCAAAGCATATTTTAATGATGACACCCGACCACGAGAAGGATAGGAATATACAGAATACAGAGAGTGAACAGAACACATGGCCACCGTGCCACACTTCGGTCGTTTGTGCGATGAGTACATTACCGTGTGCCGCGATCTGTGAAGGCACATTCCAAAGCACACTTTGAGATATGTATATGTGTATGTGCTTGCCGAAACACAGCCCCTCCATAAAAACCCGGCGCCTCCCTCATTTCCAGCGCATGCAAAGTATCCGCCGAAGCCAGCGTTTTCCATCGGAACAGCAACAACATGAACGGAAAATGTGTTAAGGTCGTAATTATCTGCGCTGCCGTTTGTAGGTGGAAGTTCGCCTCAGCTGGCAACTTTCTTTGCTCCTTGTTCTCCTTTCTTCTCTTGGGTTAATGCCATATGTCGGCCTCCTTGCGGGGTTGAAGTTGGAAGTTAGGCCCATTGATAACGCTCCTAGACTAAGACCATGCCAAACCCTTGTCCCGAGGTGCATTGAACTTGGAAATGCCAACTGTCTATCGTAGGAGCAGTTTACAAGTATCTAGGGAAAGCATTTCTCAAGGAAAGGTTGTCGACATAACGAGGCAATTAAATAGTTTTCTTTGACTTAAGTATACGGGCACGTGGGCGCAATCTTCTTATCAGATGGTATCTCAAAGAATAAAGCCAAAGACTTACAGTGTGATATTTGAAAAGAATTAGGAAATGTATTATATTTAAGGAAACTGAAAGAAAAACTGTTTTTCTAATATAGATTGGAAGAACATTGAGAAAATATTGTACTTTTTAAAAATAATCTGGCTTAGGAAATGTCGTGGTTTAATAATAAGAAATATTTCCATTACATATAACTTTTTATAAATGTTTTTCTTCAAGAATGAAAGATGAAAATAATTACTCGATTGCAGTACACATTGATTTCGCTATACCTTTTAATGGTTTTTGCCATCCAACTAACGTACATTATTTCTTTTTCAATTGCAGGAGGATCTATGATGGACGACAGAGGAAAATAATGCTTTGTTTGTGGTAATTTTGACGATTTCAATATCCCGATCTGCTGTGCATTGGAATGCCCTTGCCCGTTCTCTAGACCAAACCCAAACCCAAACCCAAGCCCAACCAACTTAATAAGTCCTGCATAGGGGTGGCTGTTCCTGCTCCTGCTCCTGTCCCTTTGCCTCTTCACCCTCTTTGCGTTCGTTCTTGTCCCTCCTGGGTTGTCCTTGCAGGCTGCAGGCTCGAGAAAGTACAGTTGCCCAAAATAAAAGGGATCGAAGAACGGAGGGGTGGCTTCCGTTGACATTGACTTGGGCCTACGGGCTGCATTCCATTGCACTCGCAATTGAAAGTCGCAGGGTCCGAAAGGGGAGGATTCTGTTTGGTGGTTCTTGGGAAATGCACATGGCCCCTAACGACACTAACGATTCGAAAAACGAGCATTTAAGATACACACACACACCGCTAAGATAGTAAGTGTGATCGATAGTCGTCGATGTCGATGCTTTGACGCATTTGGCTTTGGTTGGGGACTTTGCCCATATTGATTATTTCGAGTGCTTACGCATTCGACCCATGGCCATATGCAAAGTATCTATATGTGTATCTCTATCTGTGGCAGAGAAAAGTAAGTCAAACTTGTTTATCGGCGAAAACGAAGTGACTTATCTTTATTTTGTACAAAAACAGAAACAGAAAGGGGCGGGTACACGTTCACACACCGACCGACTGACTCACACCCCCACTTACAAACACACACACAGAGATGGGCAGAGAATAAGCTCAAGTGGAGAAATTAGATAAAAACCTGTCTCGGGCGGGAGGAGGAGGAGGGTGGTTGTTGGCTTGCGCTGAATTAAGGACACCACCCCGAGAACCCACCCACTTGCTTACAGCCTCACAGGACTTCTGGCAGAACAGCCCCCCAAACCGAGCACCAATCAAGTGGCCACCCAAACCAGAAGCTTTTGGCCAGCCACTTTTACTTTCCATTTAAACACTCGCCCCTCTCTCAGTACCCTCACCTTTCCATTTCTCCACACAGCAGATATATAATAACTTATCCATCCCATTAATTTTACAGAAAGATTTTTTGAGCGCAAGCAAGGATTATTAAAAACGAAAACCAAGCCAAACCAACTAAAAAACCAAAAAACGACACAAATTGACGAAATAACGAATAAAACGAACAAAAATCTCAAAATTCGGGCCAAGCATCGAAAACACACTTTTGAGTATCGAAAATCAAAGCGAACGGAAAAATATAAACAAACTGGAAAGGAGCAGAAGGGACCTAGAGAACGAGTACGAAGAACGGGAGTGAAACGAAGGGAAATACAAATCAAATCTAAATAAAATTAAATGCAAAGGACATTCGCATGTGTGTGGTGGTGGAAAGAAAATTCAAAACAAAATTCACAATTAGAAAACGCAGGAAAAAACGTAGAAAACGCAGACACAAAATCAAGAGTGCCAACAGCAGCAACAACCAACAACTGTCAACAGCGGGAAGAATTTTGAACTGGAACATTTCGACCAGAAAGTTGGGCGACAGCAAAATTTCAACGTTTGGCGCACTACAACAACTACAACACAGCGGCAGCAACAGCAGCAAGGACATCGCGGCCAGGCAGCCAGGATTGCAGGAGCGAGCGGTTTTGAAAGCGCAGCACACATCGATATAGCTCCTTCTCCCTCACCATCTTCTTCTTCGTCGGACCAGGACCCGCAGAACGGACAAGGATACCAGGATACGCTTAGAAAGCTAGAAGGCTAGAAATAGAAAGCCTCAGCCAGGACTTAAACTTGAAATCACGCATACGCCGCGGCGAATTGCTCGCTCTCTTTCTCTTTGCCCAGAACGAAGGGGAAAGGCCCGGAGAAAATCCCCAGCCAATCCGAAGAAGCGGAGAGGGTGACGACTTGGGGTTGCTGAGGGGAAGGCAGGGCAGGCCAGGAAAAGCCGGGGAAAGCAGGGAAAGCTGAGCAGCGCAAGGCGAGAGAGCTGCTGCTGCTGGTGGGCATCATCTTATGATGTCATCAGAGGAGTACGAGGCGGACTGTTTTGGTTTGTACAGCGATGAGAACAACGTGCTGCTGAAGGCAACCGAGCCGGAGACAACAGCAACAGCAACGGCCAAGCAACAGCAACCACCGCCGAGCAGCAACGGTCACACGTCACCAATACCGATACCACTACCAATACCCATACAAATCAACGGCGACGGCAGCGCGGCGAATTGCGGCGAGAGCGGCAAGACCACTAATACCAGTACAGGCAGCAATTGCAGCACCCATACAGAGGCAGACAAGGAGCCAGAGAGAGAGAAGGCAAAGGAGAAGGCGGAGCACGAAGAGGAGGCGAACGAATCCGACGATTCCGACGACGACGTCGTGGTTGTGCTCGAAGGCTGCGAAGGCAACGCCAGCAGCAGCAGCAGCAGCAACAGCAGCAGCAATAGCAGCAGCAACAACAGCAATAAGGCGGCAGCAACCACGACGACGGCGAACGCGAACCATTGTAATCGCAGTGGCGGCAGTCGCAGTCATCGCAGCGCCCGCAGTAGTCGGCAAATCAGTCAGTCAACGGCCGTCGGCAAGACAACAACGTGCGCGGCTAAAAAACCAACAGCAACTCAGGCTCAGACAGTCAAGAACACGAGCGTAAATTCGAACGGAAACGGAAGCGCGTCTAGTAAAGTGAATCGTCGTTCGCGTCAAAGATCCTTGAGCAAAGACATTACCAATCTAAATCTAAACAATCAGCAACAGAGCAGCAGCAACAGCAATAGCAATAGCAGCAACCAGAGCAACAACAACGCTGCTGGCTTCATGAGTAGCGCTGCCGCGGCTGCTGCGGGTGCCGCTGGTGGAGGAGCCCTGTTCCAACCACAATCGGTCAATAGCACGGCCAATAGCAGTAGTACGATCAACACACCGGCCACAGCCACTGGCAGTGTTACGCACACCCACTCGCCCACGAGCAACTCACCCGTTTCGGGCGCCAGTTCGGCCTCGTCCCTGCTGACGGCCGCCTTTGGCAACCTGTTTGGTGGCTCCTCGGCCAAGATGCTGAACGAGCTCTTCGGCCGCCAAATGAAGCAGGCCCAGGACGCAACCAGTGGCCTGCCCCAGAGTCTGGACAACGCCATGCTCGCCGCCGCCATGGAGACGGCCACCAGTGCCGAGCTGCTGATCGGCAGCCTGAATTCCACGTCCAAGCTGCTCCAGCAGCAGCACAACAACAACACCGGCAGCAATAGCCTGGCTCCCGCGAACAGCACGCCGCTGAGCAATGGCACAAATGCCTCGATCTCGCCGGGATCGGCCCACAGTTCCAGCCACTCGCATCAGGGTGTCTCGCCGAAGGGCAGTCGCCGGGTCTCCGCCTGCAGTGATCGCTCCTTGGAGGCGGCAGCCGCCGATGTTGCTGGTGGCTCACCACCGCGGGCGGCATCGGTGAGTTCGCTGAACGGAGGAGCCAGCAGTGGTGAGCAGCAGCAGCAGCAGCAATCGCAACTGCAACACGATCTGGTGGCCCATCACATGCTGCGCAACATACTGCAGGGCAAGAAGGAGCTCATGCAACTCGATCAGGAGCTGCGCACTGCCATGCAACAGCAGCAGCAGCAACTGCAGGAGAAGGAGCAGCTCCACTCCAAGCTCAACAATAATAACAACAACAATATTGCTGCCACCGCCAACAATAATAACAATAACAACAACAACACCACCATGGAGAGCATCAATCTGATTGACGATTCGGAAATGGCGGACATCAAAATCAAGAGCGAACCTCAGACGGCTCCGCCGCCGCAGCAATCGCCACATGGCAGCAGCCACAGCAGCCGCAGTGGGAGTGGCTCCGCCGGCAGCCACAGCAGCCTGGCCAGCGATGGCAGTCTGCGGCGCAAGTCCTCCGACTCGCTGGACAGCCAGACGGGGCAGGACGAGGCGCAGGACGAGGAGGAGCCAACGGTGAATCGCCAGCGATCCGAGAGCCGTGCCCCGGAGGAACCTCAGTTGCCCACCAAAAAGGAGTCCGTGGACGACATGCTCGACGAGGTGGAACTCCTCGGTCTGCACTCCCGCGGTTCCGACCTGGAGAGCCTCGCCTCGCCCAGTCACTCGGACATGATGCTGCTGGACAACAGCAAGGACGATGTGCTGGACGAGGACGACGACGATGATTGCGTGGAGCAGAAGCGCGACTCCGGCAGCGGATGTCTCAAGAAACCGGGCATGGAACTAAAACGGGCCCGTGTGGAGAATATTGTCTCAGGAATGCGATGCAGTCCCTCGTCGGGTTTGGTGCAAGCGGGACAACTCCAGGTGAACGGTTGCAAGAAGCGCAAGCTCTACCAGCCACAGCAACACGCCATGGAGCGCTATGTGGCCGCCGCAGCTGGCCTGAACTTTGGCCTCAATCTGCAGAGCATGATGCTCGACCAGGATGACAGCGAGTCCAACGAACTGGAGTCGCCGCAAATCCAACAAAAGCGAGTGGAGAAGAATGCCCTGAAGTCGCAGCTGCGCTCGATGCAGGAGCAGCTGGCGGAGATGCAGCAGAAATATGTGCAGCTGTGCTCGCGCATGGAGCAGGAGTCCGAGTGCCAGGAGCTCGACCAGGATCAGGATGCCGAGCAGGAGCAGGAACAGGAGCCCGACCACAGCAGCGATCACATTGAGCTGTCGCCCTCGCCCACATTGACCGGCGATGGGGATGTGAGTCCCGCCCACAAGGAGGAAGTGGGTCAGGAGCGACCAGGTTCCAGTTCCCCGTCACCCTCGCCCCTGAAACCCAAGACTTCGCTGGGCGAAAGTGCCGACTCGGGCGCCAATATGCTGTCCCAGATGATGAGCAAGATGATGTCCGGCAAGCTGCACAATCCGCTGGTGGGCGTAGGACATCCCGCCCTGCCGCAGGGATTCCCACCTCTTCTGCAGCACATGGGCGATATGTCGCATGCGGCCGCCATGTACCAACAGTTCTTCTTCGAGCAGGAAGCACGCATGGCCAAGGAGGCGGCCGAGCAGCAGCAACAGCAACAGCAGCAGCAGCAACAACAGCAGCAGCAGCAGCAACAGCAGCAGCAGGAGCAACAGCGACGCTTCGAGCAGGAGCAACAGGAGCAGCAGCGACGCAAGGAGGAGCAGCAGCAGCAGATCCAGCGCCACCAGCAGCAACTGCAACAGCTGCAGCAACAGCAGATGGAGCAGCAACATGTCGTGGCCTCGGCCGCAACAAGGCCGCAAATGCACCACCCGGCGCCCGCCCGCCTGCCCACACGAATGGGCGGGGCAGCGGCCCACACGGCCCTCAAGTCGGAGCTGTCCGAGAAGTTCCAGATGCTGCGCGCCAGCAACAACAGCTCGATGATGCGCATGTCCGGCACGGACCTCGAAGGACTCGCCGATGTGCTCAAGTCCGAGATCACCACCTCGCTGTCCGCTCTGGTGGACACCATTGTCACCCGGTTCGTCCACCAGCGCAGGCTGTTCAGCAAGCAGGCGGACTCCGTGACGGCGGCAGCCGAGCAACTGAACAAGGACCTGCTGCTCGCCTCGCAGATCCTCGACCGGAAATCGCCGCGCACCAAGGTGGCGGACAGGCCCCAAAATGGACCCACGCCCGCAACACAATCAGGTAATAATGGTTCACTACTCCTAGCTAATAGTCAAATGCCCTCCCAAACGCCCGTCGCAAGTGGCTCGAGTGGGCAGCAGCAGCAGCAGCAACAGACGTCGCAACAGCAACATGTTAGTAACGTGCAACAACAACAGACGCCGCAACAGCAGCAACATTTGCAACAGCAACAGCAACCACAGTCGCATCCCTTGCTGCCGCCCAACTGCCAACAGCTAATCTCCGCCCCCCGCCTAAATGGCAGTCAGTTGTCCTTCGCCTCGCCCGCCGCTGCTGCAGCCGCTGCCATGGGTCTGCAAATGCATCATGCCGCCGCAGCAGCAGCAATGTCCGCCCAGCAGCAGCAGCAGCAGCAACAGTCGGGGGATCCCCAAGCGAATACTAACAACCAAAGCGGGCCAGCTGGGCCGAATCCCACTAACAATAGCTTAAGTTCCCTTAATATACCGCCTCCTCACATTCGTCCTTCGCCCACAGCGGCTGCCATGTTCCAGGCGCCCAAGACGCCGCAGGGCATGAATCCGGTGGCCGCCGCCGCCTTGTACAACTCGATGACCGGACCCTTCTGCCTGCCGCCCGACCAGCAGCAGCAGCAGCAGTCGGCCCAGCAGCAGCAACAGTCCGCCCAGCAGCAGCAACAGTCCGCCCAGCAGACGCAGCAGCAGCTGGAGCAGAATGAGGCCCTTAGTTTGGTGGTGACCCCGAAGAAGAAGCGCCACAAGGTGACCGACACCCGCATCACGCCTCGCACCGTTAGCCGGATTTTGGCCCAGGATGGCGTGGTGCCGCCCACCGGAGGAGCTCCCAATGTCCCAGGCAACCAGCAGCAGCAGCAACAACAGCAGCAACAGCAGCAGCAGCAACAACAGCAGCAGCAGCAACAGCAGGCGTCGAATGGCGGCAACAGCAATGCCACGCCCGCCCAGAGTCCGACGAGGAGCAGCGGAGGAGGAGCCGCCTACCATCCGCAACCGCCGCCACCACCACCACCCATGATGCCCGTGTCCTTGCCCACCTCCGTGGCCATTCCCAATCCCTCGCTGCACGAGTCCAAGGTCTTCTCGCCGTACTCGCCGTTCTTCAATCCCCACGCAGCCGCCGGCCAGCCAACGGCGGCGCAACTGCATCAGCACCACCAGCAGCACCACCCGCACCACCAGCCGATGCAGCTGTCCTCCAGTCCGCCGGGCAGCCTGGGCGCCCTGATGGACTCGCGCGACTCGCCGCCGCTGCCCCACCCGCCGTCGATGCTCCATCCCGCCCTCCTGGCCGCCGCCCATCACGGGGGATCGCCGGACTACAAGACCTGCCTGAGGGCCGTCATGGACGCCCAGGATCGCCAGTCCGAGTGCAACTCGGCCGACATGCAGTTCGATGGCATGGCTCCTACTATATCCTTTTACAAGCAAATGCAACTAAACACAGAACAGCAGGAGTCGCTGATGGCCAAGTGAGTTTCCACCTAGTCCATAGTGTGCAGCAGAGAGAAAGAGAGAGAAAAAAGTAGGGAGGGGGGTTGATTTTACAGTATAGTAGAAGTACTTAACCCCACCTCGCCCAGACCTCGCTTACAAAACGAAACCAATCAAGTGTCTTCTTCAGTTTATTTATTTCCCAACTAAATTCTTTTATAAAATGTAATCAAAACCTTATTTATTGCCCCGCCGCACACTTAAGCCCCCAAAGACCCTCAAGTCATCATCATCATCGACTTGGCCTGGCTTGAGTTGCATTTCGCAACAGCCACAGAAATGGAAAAAAATCAATGACGAGCAGCCAATCGAAAGAGCTGCACTCGTTGGCCTCTTACTAGCCCCCATTTCCACTTCTACTGCCATTCCGATTGCGATTCCGTTTCTGATTCCGATTTCCAGCTGAGCTTTTTCAATCAGTGGGTTGAAGGAGGCAGAAGAAGAAGCGGCCGGGCGGCGTGGCACCCTTAGACATTCATTATTGGCACTCGAAAGTGCAGCCACGTTAGACATTGCCAATCCAATCGAATCCCTCTCTCTCTCTCTGCCATACACGAACATGGAAATTTGGAAAGACAATCGACCATCCAAACCGACACATTTAACTCATACATATACCATATATCTATATAACGCCACCAGACATTGCGAATCCTTGACTCCTTTGCACTCTTCTACATTGACACCGATGCACCTGCGCAAGGCCAAGCTGATGTTCTTCTGGGTGCGCTACCCCAGCTCCGCGGTGCTCAAGATGTACTTCCCGGACATCAAGTTCAACAAGAACAACACAGCACAATTGGTGAAATGGTTCTCGAACTTCCGGTAAGTTGTGCAATTAACAATCTATAAGCCTTAAGACCTAAGCATATATATTGTATTAACCATTCAGCATTCATTTTTATGATTTCGTTTCGCCGCCTAAGTTTGGAATTTTAAGTTTTCTGATAAGGGGGTTTTAGCGGGGGGTTCGTTTAGATCATAACAAATTGATTGGCCAAAAATGAGACTGCCACCTGTCGAAACCCTCGACTTGCACTCAAGAAGTCGGCCCAGGGACATGCAACACCAGTCAACTGTCAGTCCGTGGAATTGCGCAAGAAGTTGCCAAAAAGAGCACAAAGACTACGGAAAAACGACAGCTGCCAGATAGTCCGGGTGTGGGTTATTCCGGGTAAGGAGTGTTCCGAGGGGTAGTGCTCTGAATGGAACAGAACCAAAGTGAAGTGAGGTAGGCCCGCATTCAGTCGCCGTTATTTGCGCGCCAAATCCGAGCCGCATCTGTCCGCCCCGAAAAAACAGAAGAAATTCCGAAAGAAAACAGAGCGTGGCACAAGGTCTCACCTGGATTTACCTTGCAACCCTCTTTCATCGCCGGCTTAGCAGCTGTCCGCCGTCTCCGATTTGTCTAAGACATGCGCAACGTCTTAAGGACACCCTAAGAAATACCTACCTACCCTACCTGCGCACAAGCAACGCACAACAAAAGACAACAAATCAAGACCCGGCACGCTCGGGGTTTGTTTCTCGGGCATATCTTCTGGGGGTTGCAATCCCTTTTCGATAAGAAGTCCTAGCCTAACCCTACTTTGCATGGGAATCGAGAATCGAGAATCGAGAAACGGGGAGTTGGCATCTTGTCTTTGCCTTCGACTTCGACTTCTTTGGCCAGAGAGGTTAAAATGGGTGGGAATATTTTTTGATTTCCTAACTGGTTCTCGATTGTTTGTTTCCGTTTTTTTCCTCTTAGCAGGATAGCAGGGTTGTAAGATGTAACGGTTTTTTGAGTTCCTTTCTCATGAGTTGAGTTCCTTAAGTTTTGATTTCGGTTTCCTTTGTTCTCTCAGGGGGAAATGCTTTCCCTCTTAATCGTTTTCCCCCTAAATTAACCTAGGAAATTAATACTTGTAACCGCTTTTTGCTCTCTCTTAACGACTAGTTAATATTATGAGTTTCCCACACTCACACAGACACAGAAAACACAGAACCATACACAGTTATATACTGGGGCTGAGTGCTCTAATAACATGTTGCTTAAAGTGGCCACTTAAGAAAAATGCAAGGGGTTAGGTCCCTCATTTAGGAGGATGCCGTTGAAGATGAGCTCGAAAGTCCGGAGGATGAGATCCATGATGATGAGATGCTGCCACTTCAGCTGGAGAGTCAAGTGTGAAAATAGCGAAGAGCGAGGCCAAGAAACTTGTGGCGCTGGCATATTAAAAAGTGTTGCCTACTTAAGTGGGCCCCACCCACACACATATACTTATGCACTTCTCCTGCCACTTGGCGCATATGTGTGTGTGTCTGTTGGCTAATTAACAAAAGTGCCTTTTGTTGGAGGTCCTCAAGCAGGCCACTTATATAATTGCATTAGCTGCAGTAACTTCTTTTTGTGCTCGCCAAAATGCAAATAATGAAAAGAAAGCGGCAAAGGACATGCATTCACATACACATAGACATATACACCGACACTCAGACTCCTGGCGGGCTAATTAGTTTGTTTGCCAGGATACATTCAGTGGGTTTCTTTGGCCGCTTTTCATGGCGGCAGCTACTTGAGAGTTTCGAGCACAATGGCCAGGGCCCTACTGGCAAAAGGCGCTCAAGGATACGCCCACACACACACTCGTATGCCAGCCCACTCACTTACACCCACACACACCACACATCTCCCGCTGTTCTTTTTCCGTGTTTTGTTTCTCATCGAGCCGCTTTCCTTTTTTTGAGGTTAAGTGTCCTTTTGGCGCTTAGAACAGCTCCCCCAACCCCCCAAAGCTTTTCCCCTCCTTCGTCGCATGAAAAGATCTTGCTGACAACAACAACAACAACAAAAGCTACAGCAACAAATGCAGTTACATTTATATAAATACAAACACACACACCCAGCCACAACACTCAGACACTCAGATACGATACACGCTCCATTCTGTATATGTATATAGACGTATATGACTTGTACAGATGCTTATATATAGATACAATGCAAAAGTGTTGCCAATTACTTCATTAATGTATGAGGTAGAGATGTCTGCATATGTGTGGGTGAGTATGTGTGAGCTTATTAATAACATTCTACTCGTTCGTATTCGTAACCGTAATCCGTGATACGTAAATTATTGCGGAGGAAGTGAAGAAGAAGAAGGTGCAGCGAAGAAGGAGACACACACAAGGCACACACGAACATGAAAAACGCACATACAAAAAAAAAACCACACACTGGCACACGCATACATTCAAGCGGGGAGAGAGAGAGAGAGAAAGAGGTGTGAGTGTGGGTGTGAGATGATGAATGCACTTGACAAAGAAACGCCTGCCTGCCTTTCAACAAGTGTTTTAGTGGCTCTCCCTCTCTCACTCTCTCTCTCACCTCCTCCCCTCTCTTCCCACCGCCTCTCGGTGCATCTGTGTGCGTGGGTGAGGCCCAAATAAATAGGCTACGAAATATTATATGCAAACTAATTAGCACTTCCGTCAAGCCCCAACGCCATTGCATCTGCACATCTGCAGTTCCACTTGCACGGCTTATTATCTAAATTAAGTGGCGCATTTGAAACCGCCAAGCCAAGCTTCCTTTTCCTGCCACATGTGGTATTTGCTTGCACAAGGATCGCCTCAAGCTCCTTTTCACGCCAGCCACAAAGCTAATTGCAATTCAAACCAAACCCAAGCGGAGAGGGGCTGAGATCCTGGCAATCCCTAATAACTATGGACACCCGGCACAATGAACTGTCACACAAAACTGTCACACAGCGATTCCTTTCTTTCGGCCAGGCCAAGCCATCAGCCTCATTATGCAGCCACCGAAACCACCCACCCACCGCCGCCTCCGGGGAGCCGCTGAAAACGAAGGGGGGCGTGGCTGTGTAGGCCGGGGGCCAGAAGGAAAAGATTTTCTATTTGCGCATTCTGCGCTTATTGTTTGGAAAATCAACACGAGCTGTGCTGTGTGGCAAAACATGAGAAATGCATTTGGCGCTGCTACTGGGAAATCTTGAAATTAGCGCGATTATCGGAGCGTTGTCAAGGGGGCGCGAAAGGGGGTGGAGTGGGGAAGGACTCCAAAGGATTCTCGGCAAAAAGACAACAATTAGTGCGCGGCAGACAATGGAGGAGAAGGAGGAGGCACAGAAGCTGGGGGGGAGGCAGTCAGGCCGGAAGACAAGCAATCACTTACAGTTGCCAAGTAAAGCATATACCCCATCTGGTCCCATCCCCCCACCGGTTGAATCCCCCTGCGAATGGCAGCCCACACACAAATCACTTGACTAAACAAGGCGACGCAGCAGCAGCAGCAGCCCGCTGCACTTGCTAATTAAATCCCCAACCCCCAAGGCAGCAGAAAAAATAAAACCGCAGCTAGAAGATGCCGCCTCGACTTGCAATTGTTATTGCACCACCACGAGCTACTGCTGCTGCACATTTGAGATTTATTAAAAATTCTTTACACACTCGCACTCACACACAGACACAGCCACATATACACGCGACGCGCCTAAGAGTATGCAGCGAATTATTAATAATGTCATACTCAAACAGCTATCCAATATAATGCATTAAGGGACCCCCTAGGAACAGTGTGAGCGAGATAGAGTGACTGGGTGAGAGAGCGAGAGAGAGAGAGAGCGAGCGAGCAAAGCATTAGCGATTTCCTTTGAATTTGGTTTACCACTTTACTTGACTTTCCCCCCTTTGATTTCCCACCACCTCGCCTTGGTTCGAACCTTGATTATTCTTTCATTTGCGTTGCGATTTTGTAAATTTGAATGCTGAACAACAAAAAATATAAATAGAATAGAATAAAAAAAAACCAGAATACTGACCAAACCAAACATTCCTCATCTACGCATCTGCAGAGAATTCTACTACATACAAATGGAGAAATATGCACGACAAGCTGTCACCGAAGGCATCAAGACACCCGATGATCTGTTGATTGCTGGAGATAGTGAATTGTATCGCGTGCTCAATTTGCACTACAATCGCAATAACCACATTGAGGTATGCCAATAACCACGCCCACACCCACACACCCAAACACCCACTAACACTAACACTAACCATACCCCCGTAACCCGACTCTACATGCACACACACTCCTAAATCCAAAAGAAAAAGAAACCAAAAAAGTGTGTGTGGATGCGAGTTAGAACCACCGAACCACTAACCAGATGATCCAGAGAAAAACCCCTTTGGGAGCCAGTCGCTAATCGAGAAAATCGGTCCACAGGTACCCCAGAATTTCCGCTTCGTGGTCGAATCGACTCTGCGGGAGTTCTTCCGTGCAATACAGGGTGGCAAAGACACCGAGCAGTCGTGGAAGAAGTCCATATACAAGATCATCTCGCGCATGGACGATCCCGTGCCCGAGTACTTCAAGTCGCCCAATTTTTTAGAGCAGCTGGAATAAGTGGAGGAGTTGGCGCTGCCGACGCTGCCGCCGTTGCCGCACCCGCTGGGAATGCCACCGCCCATCAGTCCGGCCTCCACCACCATCTGCAGCAGCACCACCACTTCAGCCACCGGCAGCAGCCATTCGAAGGCGAGGCGCAGGCCAAAGCTAAAAGGCTAAACCTGCGCAGGAAACACGACTGGATATGACCAACTCCCCAGCCAAAAAAAAAACAAGAGTAGAAACTGAAAAACCGAAAAGAAAAAACAGTATCCACACACAGAAGAAGTAAAAGGGAACTTAGACATAGCTGAGTGATTTCGATAACGCGTTTAGAAAACACACTGAGCAAAAAATATTTTTTCAAAAATTTCCAAAACCACACAATCGACACACCAGAAAACATCAAACACACACATGAACCTCAGCAAAAGAGCGACAAGAATATGAAGAAAGTGGGCCAGGGAGATCCTAATCTTCCCGGGCCAGTTGAACAAAACCAAAAAACCTAAGCATAAACATAGAGCAGCAAGTCTTAATCTAATAATGTGAAATAGTGCAAATTGAAAGAGAACCTGAGCCACACACCTGAGAACACCCATACACACCGAGCGTAATTTACAGGCAGTGTAAACTGTACTCGCCGTTGGTTTGTTAGTTGAAATTTTTTTGAAAATATTTACAGCAGATTACGTATACGTATGAATATTTAACAAATAGTTGAGCCGTCTAATGATCTACCGAAAGTTGACACACATTCCACAGAGAAAAATAACACACATTCCACGCACACACACACACACGCTCACAACGGTACAAAGTGTGTGTTCATTTGAGAGAGAGCGAAAGTCGCTCGGCCAAACAGAAAGCGGACATCACCGCACTGCTTGGCCGACCGACTTTCCGGCAAGCAGTTTCCGCCGCCCAGCTGCGCACTGCTTTACAAAAGCAGTCGCACCTCCGGCGGCCGGAAATCGGGAGTTAATCTTAAAAGTTTAAAAGTCACCCGAAAGCTAAGGTTGCTATTATCCCCTATAACCCCTCTTTTAAGCGCTAAGCATATATTCGATGTCTATTAAGCGAAAGTAAAAGCAAAAATCATAAAAAAAGTTAAGAAATTGCGAAAACTATTTAGATTTGTAATCAAAGAGAGCCAGAGTTATGTATTTGTACGAACAGCGGGCGTTAGGGTAGTTAAATTTATCAATTTATCATTTACAATACGTTATGCGAACCTTCGACCAAAGTTAATTGTTAACATGAATCCCTTGAGTACGGTTTATTTTTAATCAATTCTTATACTTTAGTGCCCCACCTTTGAGCACGCATCTTAAGTTTATAGTATAATCAACATACACACTAAAACACACCACAACACCAACACACACACACACACTAGTCTGTTATTTATGTAAATAATTTATACGTTTAGTTAAGTTAATGTTTAGTTTTAATTACTTTACTTTACTTGGCCTTGAGTTGCAACAAAACAAAATATACACGAAACACCAAAAATACCAATTAAAAAATATCGTTTTTTCTTTCTCTTGATTTTAAAACCATTCCCAATATTATAATTCCCCATCTTCTGGCTGGCTGAGATCGATCATGCACTTCTCACTCATCAGCACAGCAGACACAGCATGGAAAGTGGGCGGGTTTAGAGGGATATGTTTGCCTGCTCTCCGTCCGTCAAATTTTTTGGGCCAGGGGCGGGCAAACCCTGTTGTTCCTGCAGCTGCAATATCTCATCCTCGATTGCAACTGCAACGCGACAACAGCAACAACATCATCAACTGCATGCACAACATTTGAATATTTGGCACAGACAAAATCATATTCCTCGAACGAAAAGAACGAAGCGAAATCGACCATTTCGGCCCAACAATTGCTCCGAGGAGCTCCATCAGCCAGCCAGTTAGTCAGTTACTAAGTTAGCCAGCCCCATACCCTAGCGCCCTCTGGTGGGAGTTTGGATTAGATTAGATGAGACGAGATGAGATGGGAACACCGCTATAAGGAGATGATCAGGAGATGAGATCGCACAACCCAGCAAACCTTTCGGCCACACCAATGATCACGAAATTATTGAACAATAGATGAATTTTAGCTAAAACTAAATTGAAACGAACTAAGCGAGTTTTTTAGGCTTAACCAGATTTCCCGCCGGGGGAATCTGAGCAAAATTTGATTGCACTTTGGCGTAACTATGACAAAATTAGTCGCGTATAAGACGGTGAGTTTCCTAATCCGAAAAGCGAGATCGAGTGGAAGAAACTGGAGTTCTTCGAATCGAAATTGAAAGTGAAATTCAAGTTTGGATAAATGAAGAATAAATGAAAAAAGCATTTGCGAAATTAGTATTTAGGGAATCGTACAAAGCAGATGAGGCATTCGCTAATCGAACTGAAGTTTACGTTTATCGCATTACCCAGTTGAGTTATCTTACCCCTAAGTTTTACCCACCTTCACAGCAGACAGAAGTCGAAATTCAGGTCCGATTTTAGGGCCCCCAGGAGTGACGCGTTGATTGTTAATGCCTTTACAAAATTTACGGAGGAAGCGGCTTTTGGCAATGGAGTTGAAATTTAAAAATGAAAATGAAATTTGAAAAGAAATTTGGAAATGAAATTGAAATTGATCTAAATACAATTGTAACTGATTTTGTGATAGAAAAAGTAACTAACAACAAACTAAAAATCGAACTAACTTCATTATTGTTTCGGATAAAACCAATATGGAGGCTTCCCATTGAGGCCTCCATACGAAATTATTGATTGATGTAAAAATAGTTAATTGACAATTGCGAGACGAGCGAAATTATGAGACGAAACCATTTAGGCAATTTAAGGCGTATTAACAATAAACGTTTGGCTAACAAAACTTTAGGCGAAATTTTATCTTTAAGCAAAATTCGAAAATAGCGAGAAGCAGCAGAGTATCTAGACCGTCAAAATTCAGGAAGTTAACAGCAATCAGCAGCACAAAAAAGAAAAGAAAAATACGAAGAAGTCAAACCTTTCTGTTCTGTTCAGTTTCCATCAGTTTTTCAGTCAGCGCTTTCTTTCTTTACCTCAAGGAAGGCGAATGAACCGATATACTTGCGTACCAACAAATGACACAGGAGCACACTTACACTTGCGTATATTTAATGCAACATACATATTTCATACATTTATACTAACATAAACATACATACTTAAACTTAAGTCAACAAGTCAAGGGGACGGGCCACAAAAGGGTCCGTCCCGAACGATAATTGGTTAATAAAAGCGAAATTAAATGAGAAAACAGAAAACACAAATGACGGCGCTTGGATTTTTCTTTACCAAAATTTATACCCCACCTTTTGGCCTTTTCGCTTATAAACCACCCAATTTTTGGTTCAACTCTCCCCCAAACCAACCGACCTCCGTCAGAAGCATTTTGGCATTTGTCACCGCAAAATTGGAACTGATTGGCAAGCACAACACCACCACCATCACACACCTCCAACTCACTAACCCCAAAAAAACAACCTCAACTAATCGGTGGAGCGCAGAGACGAGAAGGGTAAGCTAAATTCTCCATAATTCATCTTATTCGAGCGACGCAAACCAAGCGAATGCGACACCTAGCGGCCGCGGCCAGCAGCTGTGCCAGCCTTCAGCCACGCCCACCACAAACTTCGGCCCGCCCTTTCGAGAAGCCCCCGGAAAGCGAGTTTAGTTCCTCCAGAGTAACCTTTCGGTGTTGGAAAATTCCAAAAAGAATTACAGATCAGCCATAGGCCAAAGAAAGTTCCTTCCTCGTTTTGTGGCCGAGCTGTTAGCCGCGGTTCGCCAGGTACAGTTTACACCACGGAACTAAGTTAGCCTAAGCATATAGATTAAGTACAGCAGCAGCAGGAGCAGCAGCATCAGCAGGAAACCAGACAGAGAAAGACAGCCGGAAACGGAAATGGAAATGACAAAGGACATCCGGCCAAAGCAACCAACCAGCGACCCTGTGTGACCAGTGTTGGTCAGCAGCAAGAAATGAATTCACAGCACAGCAAAAGTAAAAACTAAACCATTAATGAACACTGCACGCAAACCGATAAAGAAAACGAATCGATCAATTCGATGATCGACGCAGACGATGGAAGCGAGAGCGAGATGGAAGGCGAGATAAGTATATACCTACTACACGTAAAACAATTACCAAATATAAAAGCAGACGCAGCCATATGCAATTTTAACTAGATTTTAAAAGCATTAATACCGCAGAATACCAAGCAAACCAAAAGAAAAATACCCAAACTTACCGATTACTGATTACTGAATGAAAAACCAAAACCGATAACAGAATTGATCAGATTTGTACATAGCGACATTTAAATACAACTACATACACGTAATTAAAATATTACTACAGTCTAAGCATAAGCGACCCCGTGACCCCCCCCACTCAGAGCCCCTGAAAAAGGACATTCTGGCCAGGGGCCAGGCGAATATTCACTCACAGCCTTACTGCATTGAAAATGCGCGCATTGCGGTTTCCGTTAGGAGAAAGAAAGAAGAGGAGGGGATTGAGATAGGACATGTGCCAAACCCAAATCGGTATATATATCAAGCAGATCCCCTTTGGCAAGCCCACACACGCACAAAACACTGAAGCAAGTCAGTCAAACTTACACTTAGGGTACATACTCCATGGTAAATCAAAGCAAATCTATTCGTAACTTCAACTTCAACGTAACCATAAGTTAGTTAAACATCCTTGGTTTGGAAAACATCTGATCACAAGACAGAAAAGAGACGAAGTAAAATAAAATACACATAAATTTGCAGTTTTGGTATACATGAAAATGAAAAAGATGAAACGAAAAATATCTATTTAAACGATGAAATATTTCTGAAATCAATTGCGTTTTTTTAGTAGCAAGCGCGATTCTCAAAATTCCCAAAAACTTTTGGCCCAAAATCGAAACACCGAAAAACCAAAAAGAAAAACAAACCGTTTGGAAGTAAACTTTTTATCACTTATTTGGCGTAGGAAGCATCAGACAGAAGAGAGGAGGAGAGGAGAGTATGAAGATTAAGCCGTGGTGCACACACACATGCACCACAAATCTTTTTTCAAACAAACTGCAATAGAGCAGCGCACAGTGCGCATACTTTCGGCATGCACTGTGCGCCTGCACCAAGGGACTTAGTTAAACAATCAAAATTCAATTGCAATTTCTGCAACAGCAACCAGTATTACT